GCTACATCTGCTAGCATATTTAGCTGCATCTGCTAGCATATTTAGCTGCATCTACTAGCGTGGTTAGCTACATCTGCTAGCATATTTATCTACATCTGCTAGCATATTTAGCTACTCCATTGACTTGGTTCTTCTGACGGTGAAGCGATGAAGACCTGAAAAGCTCTGAGGTGTATCAGTATCTCCACAGTAATAAGGTCGGTGGTGTTTTGTTACAAGAGGTGGGACAAAATCTTATTGACCTTTAAAGCAGACACAGAGCCCAGCCAAAGCCTTAAAGTCCTCCATCACTGAGCTTGGGTTCATTGCAGAGAAAATCATAAAACTGAAGATGAACAAATATTATAAAGCTGTGACCTCCATACACCTGAAATCATACCTGATGTTCTCGTCACTGTTTTCAATCCTTCTGAGGATCCAGCGTCTTCTCCGGTGGTTCATTGTAGTCCAGACACAAAGTAGGATGCAGGATTTCCTCCGTCGGTCGTTTGTCCACAAAGTGAAATGAGCACACATGCAGCGTTTTGGGCGGTCTCTTCAAGTTCACATTTTTTCAGCCTCATTCTTCTTCATTCCTCATCTGTAGGTAGGAGATGGAAACTAGACCGCTTTTCACAGGAACACTCTTTTTGTTTTGGGTCCGTGTTCAAAACTCTGTTGTTGTAGCCACTGATTGTGTAACCGTGAACACAACAGGTACCTGAACTCAGCACAGCTATTTTAGTAAACTTTGTTTGTTAAATAAATGTAAACAAAAGCAGCATTTTATCTGCTAAACTGAATGCAAATAACTTTCAAATAAACCGCGCTCCTCTACCATGGTTAACCAATGCTTACTACTTCCTGTCTAACAGGAAGTTGTACCTAGAATCATTTATACAGTAGAGCCCCCAGGAATACGGTGGATAGACATATATTTTAAACAAATACTTATTTTTTGTACTTTTTTAAGATGTTGACACAAGGTCTGTAGGTGTGCAGTTCAAATATCTACCTGTTATGGTTATATTTGGCTTTTCTTTCATTCTCCTGTTTTAACAAACCTGAAAACCCAAGTTTAGAGCAAAACAGTTATTTGTACTTTTGCACCTTTTTGTCCTAAATGCTTTAACAAACGGAGGATAAAGTTGAAATGGCTGCCTCATAGTAAGGTCTAATTCTCTTCACTCTAAGAGTGAAATATTGTTGAGCAGGATTTGCGTTAGTATCAGGATTACTTTGCTCAGTAATGTGAATATTTGGGTTTTTGTAAAGTTTCCTGTAAATTTTAAATCTCAACATAAAGTGACTATGAAGGATTATTATATTTAGTTTAAATTAATATCTTACACGTTTGTTTTTTAAAGTGCTGTCTCTAAACGAGCTGAAAACAGACCAAATGATTTTTCGTACTCACTAATACATTATTATTATTATTATATGTATTCTTGCTTTGTTCAGTGACTCGGAGTCGACACTGGAGGGCAGAAAACTCAGTATTTCCTCTTCACCTTTACATCCTTTGATGACTGCGTGTATTTTTGTGTTTATTGCTATTTAATAAGGGACCACGTCCAAAAAGGATCAATCTGTATTTATTCTTGATTTTCATTAATGCGCTGACTCTTTCAAATAAATAAGTATATTCAGACAGTTTGTTTATTTCATGTTTTTTTACAAAGAGAAGAGTCTAAACTCGGAAAAGTAACAAAAAGTTTGAATGATCGGACAGAAAGGTGGGAGTAAACCGTTGGACCCTCACCTCCGAACTGTTGCGTTCATGATTAATAGGATTTAGAGGCGTATCCAGGTACCCAGCGAGGAGAGGCTTAAACCGGCACACATCTTTCAGTGTTTCCCTCTGATGCCGGGGCCAGTTCAACAGAGGAATGTTTGAGCAGCTGGAGTACTGGAGAACAAAATAACTCGCTTATATTGATGATGAATGTGTCATTTTTTAAATAAATTGAAATAAACAAAAGACGTAAAGCAGCAGTGACGCAGAGAAAGGATTTACAAATCTTTTCATTAAAGTTATGCATTTATTTTCCAGTTGGAATGATTCAGTTTAGTGGATGATACAGTTTACAGTGATCAGGCTCAACACAGATACATGACATGCATTAAAATAAAATAACAACTCATATTTTACATTCTTAACTTCTGAACCCTGAAATGATTTTCACCCTGAATCAGAACATAAACGTAAGAAAAGTCCAAATTACTTGATTTGCTTTTCAATTTTGTCATCAGCGTGCGCCTCTCAGCCCTAACTGGAGGTTTTATCTTCATCGCTGAGTGAGGAAGAGTCAACAGAACCGCCCCAGCTGGGTCGGAGGGCCCGTTTCAGCAAGTCCCGAGTCGGGACTTCAGTGAATCTCATGCGTCAGAACAGCTGTCGGTGCAACATCTGGACGTGTTTTAGTGCAAACGCCAAAGAAGACAGGAATGCTTTCAAAGTTCCTCCTGACAGAACCAGCAGCAGAACCTCGGGGTTCTGTTGCAGGAAGAGGAAACGGCTCAGAACCGAGAAAAACGTTTTGTTTTCTGGACTGAGTGGCAGGATTCAGCCGGGCAGTAAACTTCTGCCGAACGTTACAGAAACAAATGTTATGACGCGTTTCACAAAGTCCAAACTCATTTAGAAAGTTTTTTTTGATTATTATTAAACCTGCTATAGTCTTTGTTTTTAACATTTATTAAAGTTAAATGATGGAATAATATATGGGGTGTGGTTTGTAAAATTACACTGTCAAAAATTAACAATATTTTGGTTTATTAGCCTTTCATAAGATTTAAAAAAAAAATTCAGTCATATTTTCACCATGTTGATCATACATTTATAAATTAAATATTTAATTTACAAGCTAAATATTTAGTTTACAAACTAAATGTTTATGTCCAAGATAAATGTTTAATTTACAAACTAAATATTTAACTTGCAAGCTAAATATTTTGCTCACATCTAAATATTTGGCTAATATGCAAATTCCTTGCCGAAAGTGGAAGTGGACTATCAAAATAAAAACCTTTTATTTTGCTAGCTAAATATAAAATTAACTTGCAAGTTAAATATTTAGTCCAAGCTAAATATTTAGTTAGCAAATTAAATATTTATTTTGGAAATTAAATGTTTAGTTTGGAAAATAAATATTTAGGTCAGAGCTAAATATTCAGTTAGCAAATTAAAAATTTGTTTTTGGAAATTAAATGTTTAGTTTGGAAAATAAATAATTAGGTCAGAGCTAAATATTTAGTTAGCAAATTAAACATTTATTTTTAGAAATTAAATGTTTAGTTTGGAAAATAAATATTTAGGTCAGAGCTAAATATTTAGTTATCAAATTAAATATTTATTTTGGAAATTAAATGTTTAGTTTGGAAAATAAATATTTAGGTCAGAGCTAAATATTCAGTTAGCAAATTAAACATTTATTTTTAGAAATTAAACGTTTAGTTTGGAAAATAAATATTTAGGTCAGAGCTAAATATTTAGTTAGCAAATTAAATATTTATTTTGGAAATTAAATGTTTAGTTTGGAAAATAAATATTTAGCTTGGAAATTAAATATTTAATTTACACCAAAATATTTAGTTTACTAACTAAATACTTAACTTGCAAGTTAAATATTTAGTTTGTAAACTAAACATTTAGTGTGGAGCAAAATATTTAGCTTGCTAACTAAATATTTAACTTGCAAGTTAAGTATTTAGTTTGTAAACTAAATATTTAGCTTGTAAATTAAACATTTTGTTTGGAACTATGACATTTATAAATGTATGAACAACATGGTGAGAATATGAGTTTGAAAAATAAAACGTTTTTTCTTATGAAAGGCTA